TCAGAAGGAAGGTTGGGCAATCTACTTCTGTAGTGATACCGCCTTGGAAACCCAAGGAGGGGTCGCTATGAGTCGGGTCTGACTCGATGGCACATAACAACAATAGGAACTTCTTTCTGGAAGGTGACTACCTCATCTTCCTTCACAGGAGAGGCTGGTGGGTGTGAACCCTCACCCTTTTGGTTAGCAGCTGAATGCTTTAACCACAGCGCTACCAGAGCCCCTTTGCATCTATGTAGAGAAGGAAAATGAAGTAAGTTTTTCTGAAGAGAGCTCACTGAACAGCTAAATGGTAAGTTATGACAGGTGTAAATAGACTTTGAGTGCTGAGGAGTAAAGATGTCGCTTTGAGGACTAAGGTGCACCTGACCCAAGCCATGGTGTTTTCAATCACCTCATGTGAGGGCTGGACAGTGAGTAAGGAAGACCACAAAAGAATCAATGCCTTCGAATCGTGGTGTTGGTGAAGAATATTGAATATGCCACGGACTGCCAGAAAAACGAACAAATCTATCCTCAAAGAAGTGCTGCCAGAATGCTCCTTGGAAGCGAGAATGGCCAGACTTCCCCTCACCGAGTTTGGTCATGTTGTCAGAAGCGACCGTTCTCTGGAGAAGGGTGTCATGCTTGATAAAGGGTAGGCTCAGTGGGAAAGGGGAAGGCCCCCAACCAGACGGACTGACAGCGTGGCTGCAGCGGTGGGCGGTCACAGCAGGGATCGTGAGCCTGGGGCAGGACGGGGCAGGGTTTCGTCCTGCTGTGCACAGGGTCACGATGAGTCGGAGGCGACTTGACAACACCTACCAAGAGGGTGTAAATAACTGATGACGAGCATCCCGTTTCTTCATCTGTCTCTAGCGTTGTGGTGTTGGTACTGTCGAGTTGGTTCTGAATCACAGGGACCCTGTGTGACAGGGCGGAACTGCCCGTGGGGTTTCCTAGGCTGTATGAGAAGTCCTGGTGGTTTGGTGATTAAGCTTTCAGCTGCTAACCAAAAGGTTAAACCCATCAAGGTGACAGCTTGGATACCCTGTGGGGCAGCTCCACTCTATCCTGTGGGGTTGCTTTGAGTCTGGATTGACTCGATGGCACACAACAGTAACGATGACAATCTTCAGGGAAGCACGCTGCTCCATCTTCCTCCCGGGGAGCTGCTAGTGGGTCGGACCCTCAGTCTTTCAGTGAGCAGCTGTGTGCTTAACTGGTGCACCAGCAGGGCTCCCGTGCCCTGGGTTTAGGGTCTGTATTTCTGGCTCCTAATGAGTCCAACGTCGTCCTTCTCGTCACAGATCTCTCATCCCAGAGACACGCAAGTTTCATCACAGGGGAAGGCGGCAGGTAAGAAGGCTAGACTCACTCTAGGTGTGAGATCAGAATTGTTGTTGATGAAATTCATGCTGTTCTTAGGGCCATGTGATGATAAAAAGAAAGCTTACATCAAATACGCTTTCCTTGCGGTTGTTTTGTCTCTCTGTACCTGCTGTGGTAAATGCCCACCAAATAATTTTCTTTTTCTGATGAGAAAAGCTGTAAGTATTCTGCTTGGGTTTTAAAACAGCTGTTGTTGTGAGGTGCTGTCAAGTCGTCTTTGACTCAGAGCCACCCTGTGCCCAACAGAATGGAACACTGTCCGCACCTGTGGTGGGAAATCGGAGCCCTGGGGTGCAGGTTAAGCACTCTGTGCCCAACCTACAGATTGGCAGGTAAGACCACCTGTGGCTCCGTGGAACAAAGATCTGGCTATCTGCTTCTGTGAAGACTGACAGCCTTGGAGACCCTGTGGGGCAGTTCCACTCTGTCCTCTAGGGGCGCTGGGGGTCAGAATCGACTCCACGGCAGTGGGTGTGGTTTGGGCTTTGCTTCTGTGAAGACTGACAGCCTAGGAAACCCTGTGGGCAGTTCCACTGTGTCCTCTAGGGGCGCTGTGGGTCAGAATGGACTCCACGGCAGTGGGTGTGGTTTGGGCTTTGCTTCTGTGAAGACTGACAGCCTTGGAAACCCT